ATCTCGGTTGAATGCTGTTATTTATGCTGCTGTTATGATGCCAGATGTTGGTGGAATTAGTACATTTTACAAGACTGTACTATTTAAGTCTTTCTACTTCAAAATGTAATGTTTAATTCATTGTGCTACTTTGTTCTTTGTAATTGTGAATTTGCTAGAAATTTAGTAAAAGTAAATCTTACACTACATTTTTTTAAAGTGAGATTTGTGTGAGAAAACAACTGAAATTGAACCAAAACATCTTTAAAAACACCTTAACTCTCTTCGTTATGTTCATGAGAGAAGTAGCTAAATATGTCTGAATCAGATCTTTTCAGTGACTCATTTTAGTTCACAGGGGGTGGATTTTGAGTGAATAATGACTCAATTTTCAAAAACATGCAGGTCTGAAATTACGTGAGGGTGCTAAATTATGTCAATTTTTATTTGTTAACTTCCCCAGAAACGACAAATGCTTTGAGTTTGGAGGATGAGTCATTCCTCACCAGAGTCTGGTAATCATTGTTAAACATTTCTGACTCTATAAGGCAGTTCTTAAATGAAACCACAGCGCAAACAGTCTTTATCCTGGATGAGATCCTGGTAGAAACGACTCTCACGTTGTGCTGAAACAGTCTGAAATGATGCAGCCTCATCAACAAGTAGGCGTGCTGCAGGATGTTGCAGAACCGCTGCATGGGTGTGTGTGTGTGTGTGTGTGAGACTAACTGAATGCACACATGCATTTGGCCCTGACTGAGCACGTTTTACCTTATTACAGTCATTTCATAATGCAGCAGCTGTCAAACTCATAAAACTAGTCAGTGTGTGTGTGTGTCACCGCTGTAAGAAAGTAGGCTGTCTAAATGAGGTCCGTCTGATTCTGTCCGTCACTCAGAGATCGTAATGAGAACACGAGAAGAGAGAGAGAAAACTCTAATGATCTGATTAGATGGATGTTTCTGGAGACGTGGGCCGCTCTGCAGATGCAGGGGAACCTATTACAGTGAGCCGCCGTCACCATGTGTGTTTGCCTTCATTCACACTGTTGAGGGAGTGGTGACTAAGAGTCACTCCTGTCATCGGCGGTGGAACATTACTGTCACGGGACTCAGAGATGATTTCACTGAATGAGAATTTCGTTAGTAGAGTTTCTGCATAGATCTTCTGATTTCTCAGAATGACCGCCTGTCTTTGAGCGACACTTTAGCTCTGCTCCAAAACCTAGTCAGCTGTATTCTAAGGCAGCATCAGAACTGCAGTGAAGCCTCAAAAGTGACTGATTTGGAACGGCAGCAAACATAAATAGTGTGCCATACAGGATTGATAAGGAAAAGACAACAGTCTGAAACTTTAATAACATTTCATACACAAAGTGATTAAAACAAAAAAGTGAATAAATATAGTCACAAAAGATTTATAAGAAATTAAAACAAATGTAAAATACATATTAAAAATAAATAAAATGTACGTCAGAGACGTGTTTATATGTGTTTGTATACTTTTATATTAAAATAAAAGAGGATTAAATAATCATGAAATGTACATAATAAAAAAAATACATCAAATACTACATAAATGCACACAACACACACATTGGTTAAATAATAATCATAAAAGATACATAAGAAATAAAAAAACATTAATAAATATATTAAATACACAGCAAATGCTTTGTATATTTTTTGTTTATATTTATTTTGAACTGAGCTGGAACATTGTTTATGTAATGTTTAGGCCTATATGATGCCTTAAAATGCTGTTCAGGTAGGGAGCTTACTGTTTATGACCTAAACTGTTGTCTCTCTACAACAAGATGTTTTGTTACTTTCTTGTCCGAAAGAGTGGGTGGATGGATTGCTTTCAGTGATACTTGGACACAGATATTTCTGAAATATATTTTTACCTGCTAGATAGACAGGGGTGCAAGAAGCTGCATACTAATCTGCATACTATAGTCCCAGATGCCATGGGTTCTGTTTTATTCTCATATTTTCTTTTTACTATTAACTTATCTTTGTCATATTGGTTTTAGGGCTGGTCCGAATACCATTTTTTGAGCTTCGAAGCTTCGGTAGTAATCAACACCGAATATTCGAAGCTTCGGAGGTAGGGGGCTGAACATATTCTTCTCTCTGATAAAGGCAGGGATCTCTGTGTGTCTGTCTGTCTGTTTGCATTTTTATTATGTCGAGAACCGTTCATCCAATCGACTTCACGCGTGGCGGGTGTGTTGCTGCAGACCCAAGGGAGTGCGGTGTCGCATTTTGGTGCAATATGGGCACGCGACACGTTCAGTCGCATTTTGGTGCAATATGGACACGCGACACGTTCAGAATTAATAAACTTTTAATAAACTACAGAACAGCGCGAGCCGGAAGGGCTTATATGCTTCAAGAACGGACACTGCACTAGTGATACAAAACACACAGGGCTGCGTTTCCCAAAAGCATCGTAAGCTCAAGTTGATCGTAGCTCCATTGGTTTCAATGGGTCTACGATGTACTTAAGCTTACGATGCTTTTGAGAAACGCATCGGGCCTGTTTTAGGCTTCTCCTTATTTTTATGTTTTACACATCCATCAATTAGTGATGAAAAAATTGCAGCGCTAGTGGAAACAACACGAGACCATGCTGTCAAGAGCGGCTCTGTTTAGTGTCCTGCCAGCAGCAGCAGCATACGTGCAGTCAGCGCAGCTGAGGAGTTCTGCGTTCAAATGCACGCAATAGGCTAAAGCTTGCCGCAAAGCCCCAGCAAAAGTAATTACCATGAATGTGTCAGGGGGAAATAGTAAGGAGATATTTTAATTATTTACTAATAAACTAGTGTTTTCTGAGTCCGTGTCGCAAAGATGAAGATGTCGATCTTGACTCGCCATCTCTTCATAGATGCGCCTTTAGAGAGAAGTGCATCTTCACGGATTATGATTATAATGAAAGAATTTTTGTTTTCGATTTGATTTATTTCGTTAAGTGGTCATTTAAAGCTTTCTATAGATTTATTTATCATGTCTGTGAGGCATGTATTCGCTGAGTTTTGATTCATTTTTGTGAAGCGCTCCTGTTCAAGACGAGACGGCAGAAAGCGCATCATGTTTGTTTTCTTTATTTTATGAAAGCACAACGTTTTGTTGATATTGTGAGTGCGCACAAATACAAGTATACCCTTTACAGCTCCGAATGATGTATTATTCTTACCTTCATGAGCAAAAATGACAGCGTAGGCCAATTTAAGTTGTTTCCACTGAAAAAAAAAATGCAAGTGATTGCGCTGGTGCCTCCATGTCCTGCAAAGCACGCTTTAGCTTCCACTCTCCGCACAAGCTTGGATATAGCGCACATTTATTATAGCGCAGGTTTAACGGCAAGTCGTGATGATTTGAGAAGGCTAAATTGATCAAATATAGGCTCACTGTCTGCCGCTGCATGGCCACTTGGTCGTTACTTTAAAAAACAAAAACTTGTAACGAACAAAAAATGCTCCAAACGTTTTTTCTAAATTAACTTAATAAAATAAATAAAAAAACTATAATCATTTTGCCATTACATACAAAACTGAACTATTTTAATAGCTGAAAGAGTAGTATGAGTAGTATAAGGAGAAGGGGAAAAAAAGACGGGCTCAGGCCGGTAATTCTGATAAGCTGTCGGACAAGGACTGGGCTACGGACTATATTTGAGGCCCGTACAGAGCTCTACCAGGTACTATAATGAAGCAGCGCTAAATATATAGCGTTACGTCAAAATACTCATTTATTTAATTTTAAATTAAACAAATGTAATCTTGATAGTATTCCCACTTTTTACAAAATGTAACTGTAATCTGAATACTTTGTTTTTTGATGTAACTGTAAAGGATTACAGTTACTAGATTTTTGTATCCTGATTACGTAACGCCGTTACATGTATTCCGTTACTCCCCAACCCTGTATATATACATACATGTATTTTATTAATATATCTTATTTTTTTTATTATCTGTGTTTTGTTGTTGTCTCTGTTTACTGGAAGCTTCTGTCACCAAAACAAATAACAGCATGTGGTGTCAGTGATGTCTCGGGTTATGCATGTAACCATGGTTCCCCGAGACATTCCCCTTCAAGGGAACTCGCACTGCATCCTCTAGTGAACACTATGGGGAACTAAATACCCACTATGCCATGCCTCGGTGCATTGCCTGTCCACCTGGTGAGAGAGCACCAAAAATAGTGGCAAACATACACCAATTTAAAAAGGGGGCATGCCAATGATGCCCGGACAGCTAAAATAACTTGGGGGAAATGGGGAACCCAACCAACTCTAATATTAAGGAGGGACATCCCAAAACAGGCAATGCACCGAGGCATGACATAGTGGGTATTTAGTTCCCCATAGTGTCCACTAGAGGATGCAGTGCGAGTTCCTTTGAAGGGGAATGTCTCGGGTTACGCATGTAACCATGGCTCCTCGAGAGGGAACGAGACACTGCGTCCCCTTGCCATGCCTAGGGCCTGCCTGTTTAACAAACAAAAGTTGATGATGTGCATTACAGGCGAAATCCTACAAGTGGTTTTCAAATGATCATCTTACACTGTACATTAAAATACGCTACAACCTCTAATGAGCTAATTACTGCCTCATACATATCTTTAGATTGCATAATATGGAGATGCAGTTTGTGCTGTGGGTGTGCCACACAAAAATGCTCAAACAAAGAATCACACACACACGCCACAAGCAAACACTCCTGCTGGCACTGAGACTGACATATCTCTCTCAAGCGGTGTGTGTGTGTGTGTGTGTGTATTAGAGGTCGTAGCAGAGAAACAGTTGTCAATGTGGGGGCAACACATCAGCACATGCCGTCTGCTGCAGTTAACAGCAAACAAACACTGCCACTCTGAAATGGCCTCATTAGCGCTACAGCAGCGCTGCCGGGTCTCAACTCCTCTCTGAGGTTATATAAAGTAGATGTATGTTTGTGTGAAAGAGCGTGTTATTGTGTAGACTTTTTTGCTAGCATGTGTGTGTTTAACCTGCTGTTAGTCACACCTGTTCTCCATGTCGGCGCTGCACTTGGGTGACAGAAGCTCAAAGGACTTGGTAAACTTCACCACCTGCGGGAGACATTAAAGCGAGCAGTATTAGAGAGATGCAGCAGGCAGGGGATGGGGAGGAAGAGGAAGGATCAGAGCGTACTGGAGATTCGATGTCCTCCAGAAGCTGGACGGAGCAGCGTTCACACTTCAGCAGGGTCTGAGCTCGATGCATGATCTTCCTCACGATCTTCTCCAAATCGGTCTGCTCTTCGAACAAATCGTTCACAACCTCTAGAAGAGCCTACACACACGGACACACACAGAGAAAAGCCCGAAACATACTTGACACAAGTATATGAATGCAAATTCAAGTAGAATTCATGCGTCAATGCATTCATGTGTTGCATTCTGAAGTACGCATGGCATTTGGTGTGTTTCTGCAAGGGCCCTAAAGCAGGAATTAGTGTTAAGTGTCGTATTCTATGGCCAGTTATGTCTTTCAGGTCAACTGCATGTTCAAAGGGAGAAATCATAAAATCTGTCATCATGTACATTCAAGAAAGAAAATTAAAATGGGTCTGAAATGAAATTAGGGTAATAATTTCATTTCAGACCCATTTTAATTTTCTTTCTTGAATGTACTGGTGTTTTATCCATGCAGTTCCAATTAATGGAGACAGAATTTAGTTTAAAAGGGATTTGGGGGTATTATTCTATTGATTGTGGCAGCAGTAATTAATAAAATTATGATCAAAAGATGGAGAAGAGCCATATAAATGGGCAAACCCTTGAAAAAGCAGTGCATTTAATTGTACTGAATTTGTACTTGCAGTGTACTTCAAGTACATAAAAATAAACTTAAAGATAATATAATATTAATGAAATAAAAGGCCACTTAAGTGTACTTAAAGAGAGTTCACTTTCATTACTGTTTCATGAAACACTTAAATATACTTTTAAAAAGTGCACTTTGTAATAATGTCAAATTAAAAGTTTTACTTTAAAGTACATTTTAAATTATTATCCTTTAATAATCTTTTGACATGCTTTAAAGTACACTTATTTTGATGTGTTGACTAACATACTGAAGCACATGTAAAGTACTTGATTATAATTTTAACTGTGGTGTGTTACTTGATATTACATTTCAAGTTAAAATTTTATTTAGTATGTTTTAAATCTACTAAATTGCAGCTTCATCATTACAAATGTGCAATTACAAATGTTATATTATTCAATATTGCATATAACATTAATATATTTTTAAATGTACTAGATTGCAACATTACAAATATGTAATTGCAAATATATTTAAATACATGAAAAACAAGTTTCAATATAAATAGCATTAAAGTATATTTTAGCAGCAGTACTTTAACTATATTTCAGAGACAAAATAATTAATTATGAAATTACATATAAAAATGTACTTAAGTTGTTCTTAAGCAGGTCAAAAAAGCACTTTAAAGTTCAGCTAATTACTTTTAATGGAAATGTAATCTATAATATATTATAATTCAGTTGGAATTAAGTGTCTGAAAACATCACATTCAGTCAACACTTAAGTATATCATTTTAAATATATTATTTACATAGTAAATGCTGTTTTTGAAAGTATACTACAGTAAAGTATTCTTTTTCACGAGGGTTTATCCAGCCGATTCAGGTGATAAAGTCTCAGTAAAATATGCCAAATTATAGTAATCTGAAGCGAACTACAAAAGCTAGCACTCAGAATCGCGCTGTGTAAGATGAATTCAGCCTTAACTTTTTGGATGTCTTTGCACTGTTATACATGATTTGCATAATTCCTTTAGTGAACTGACTGCTAAAACATCAAGTGTGTGCAAATGACCAATGCTATAAGCAGGCACCATTCATTCTTAGTAAACTCCCTCCACTGTGTGTATCTATGATGGGAGACTTACAGAAAATATGGTAATGTCTGCCAACAGTAGTTTTTCAAGTTCACCCATGTTAACAGAGCGAGTACCATTATGGCTTACTCTAAAATAGCGCAAGCCGCATGTACGCTGAATGATCACTTGAGGTCCCTCACTTTCTGCCTATATCTTTCTCATTCTCTCTCTTCTTCGTTCTTGTTGTCTCGCATTATGTTCCTCGGTGATCGATATTTAAAATGTGTTGATGACGCTGTAAGGATGCCACGACTCAGATTTATGCTTCCCCAGCCACACACACACATCTCTTCTTGATTCAAAACCTCTCGATGCAGGAACAGAGTGTGTAGGAAGCAAAAGATCAATAGACAGATAGACACATACTACGTAATAAACACCCACATGACATTTACAGCGCGCACACACACAGCGCTGTCTTGTTACAGTAGGAGGGGTGCAGAGATATAATACGGTTTTAATGAAGTGCTGAAGTAAGTGTGTTCTTACCCTGCTCCTGTCGTACTCTTTCCTGGAGGCAGCGAAGAGCTGGGCGTTTGAGATGGCGATGCCACAGAACGGCAGGTACATCTGCAACACCTGCACAGACACAACAGTGTTTAGAAGTGTAGAGTAGGGATGCACCGATAGGATTTTTTGGGGCCGATACCGATACCGATTTTAACAATCACTTATTGGCCGATTCCGATACCGATATTTGTCACTTCCTCTCTTATTTGAAATTTTGGCATCAAAATAGATAGTATTTTGATCATGTTTTAAATCAGCAAAGTTCAAAAACACCTGCATTAAATTATACAAGCAGTTTTATTGCTGCATCATCAAATAACATTGTGATATGCTTGAACTGTTTTATATCTATAGATTTTATTTTAGGCAAGTCGTGATGATTTGAGAAGGCTAAATTGATCAAGCAGGCTCACTGTCTGCCGTTGGCCGCTTGGTCGTTACTTTAAAAAACAAAAACTTATATTTAAAGAACGAAAAATGCTCCAAACGTTTTTCTAAATTAACTTAATAAAAAAACTAAATGAAATATAATCATTTTGCCATTACATACAAAACTGAACTATTTTAATAGCTGAAAGAGTAGTATAAGCTGTTTTGGGAGAAGGGGAAAAAAAAGACCGGGCCGGTAATTCTGATAAGCTGTCGGACAAGGGCCGGGGCCTGAGCGTCTCGGGCCGGGCTAGGGCCTAAATTTGAGGTCCGTGCAGGGCTCTACTGCCTTTGTCTTGTCCTCACTCAATTTAAGGTGCTCCCACACAGCTAAGGTCTTTGGCAGTTTTGTCTTCTCTTCCAGATTAACTGAATTATGACGTTCACTCATGGGCGATTCATATTCAAGCGCGAATGAGAACCATTTTGCGGGGGATGCCAGGTGTTCGGAAAAAAAGAAAAGAATATTCGAATCTCAAAATTGAAAATCGAATGCCAACCCACCGAACGAATATTCGAATAATCGAATATTCTGATCCAGCCCTAATTGGTTTCTTATTTATCATTTCTTAATAATCTTTTTTTTTTATCTTGTATGTTTTTTGTAAAAGTGTTTTTTGTGTAAGTGTGCTTTACTTTGTTTCACTTATGTGCTGTCTTGTAGGTTTCACTTGCATATCTGTAAGGTGACATTTCAGGTTTCTTTTGTCTTCTAGCCCACACAAAACTGCATCTTTTTGTCTGTCTCTTCCAAAACATTTGGCCTTAAATGTGAACACTCACAGCACACTCATTGTTCAGATGGCCTCTACAAGAACAATAAACCTGCGTGTAGACAATCGTCTCTGCATTAACGGCAGATGTGTCATACCAGCCTTACGTTCGGGACGGGTTTGTTTTGCATGTGCTCGGGAAAGTTTGCATCAGTTATGTTTGCGTTGATCCGATTTGCACCGTTTTCATCTCAGCTGCATTCAACGCTAATCTTGTTACTGTCTAAAATAAGCTTTCATTCTGTTGATACTCGATTGCTGTGCTTGTCGAGCCTCCGCGTACATTCTGAAATCATCTGTAGTCATGAAGAAACGCAGCGCTGAAGGAGGTCAAACCCAAACGCGCTGCTTGGGTTGAGTTTCCCGCTTTAGAATTGGGTCACCGAATGCGCGCAGCCCCAATATAGAGTGATTCACAAGGGCATATGTGATGTAAATGGTTGTTTCTGTACTTTATCTTCACATTTGGGGTTACATGTTACAGTACATCCTCAACAGGATGTATCATACACTCAGGTAAACAAGTGGCTCACACTTAAAGTAATAGTTCACCCAAAATGAAACTTTGCTGAAAATGTGCTCATCCTCAGGTCATCCAAGATGTAGATGGGTTTGTTTCTTCATCAGATTTTGAGAAATGTAGCATTACATCACTTGCTCACCAATGGATCCTCTGCAGTGAATGAGTGCCGTCAGAATGAGAGTCCAAACAGCTGATAAAAACATCACAATAATCCACACCACTCCAGTCCATCAGTTAACATCTTGTGAAAACAAAAGCTGTAAGATTTTGTAAGAAATTAATCCATCATTAAGATGTTTTAACATCAGATCATTGCTAAAATACGAGTCCATAATACATAATAACGCTTCCTCCTGTGAAAAAGTCCATCTCCTGTTGTCCTCTTACATCAAAATCCACCTACATATGTGTTTAGAGCTGTTTTGGTCTTTTTTGGCTTGTAAACAGTGTGTGGTCTGTGCAGATTTCTCTCCTGATTCAGACCTGACAACATGTTCATGTTGGAAAACAGTATTAAGAATAGAGAACTCATATTTTAGCTGGAAGCAACAGATTGTTTCTTACAAAAACACAGTTTTTCCGTTCACAAGATGTTAATTGATGGACTGGATTGGTGTGGATTACTTGTGGATTATTGTGATGTTTTTATCAGATGTTTTGACTCTCATTCTGACGGCACCCATTTACCCACTACTGGACTAAGGGTTGATTACGTTTTCAGCAAATTTAAATTTTTGGGTGAACTATGCAAATTGAGATAAAGCGTTAGTGTGCTGCTTACATAGATAATATTCTTGTGTGCTTCTGAATGTTTAGACACCTATAATGCCTAAAAATGCTTTCTAGGTAGGCAGTTCACTAGGTGTGAGTGTGACATCAGACATCACTGTCTCACAGTGTGTATATGATAACAATACTGAAGACAAAGACAGTGTCTTCCTGCTAGCTCATTCTGAACCCATTTACCCACTACTGGACTAAGGGTTGATTACGTTTTCAGCAAATTTAAATTTTTGGGTGAACTATGCAAATTGAGATAAAGCGTTAGTGTGCTGCTTACATAGATAATATTCTTGTGTGCTTCTGAATGTTTAGACACCTATAATGCCTAAAAATGCTTTCTAGGTAGGCAGTTCACTAGGTGTGAGTGTGACATCAGACATCACTGTCTCACAGTGTGTATATGATAACAATACTGAAGACAAAGACAGTGTCTTCCTGCTAGTACAAATGTGTATGTATGTGTGTGTGAATATGTGTCTGAAATATTCATGACTCTGGAGTCCTGACAGTCCGTCAGCCATATGAAACGGATCTGCCTCAGGACCTGAGCGCTGCACTGGGGCTGCTATGGAAACAAGGGACGGTTTAGTGTGTGTGGTGTTGTAGTTAACATTCTTTGGACCTTGTGTGTTAAATGAACCTCTGGTTTAGTCAGTGAGGGAATAGTCAACTATCTTTATCCAGAAACACAGGAGTTTAATAAAGGATCTTTCCTGCTGTGTGTTTGGAATGAATACTAGTGTGCATCAGAACTGCCTAATGTAAAAAGTAGTAGGCTATGAAAGGATAAATGTTTGAAACAGTATAAGCCTGAATGAATATAGTGAGAGGCATACAGGATTTTTCTTTCAGTGATGATTTAACATTTGCCGGGCTGAGTACTGCGTCAGAAGGAGATTCCGGTTCATTTGTCACACTGAAGTCGGGTCAAGTCAGGTGCATTGCATTGTGTGATACAGTATTTCAAATTGTGTGTTCTACTGTATACTGGCAATACCTGACAAATGATCATTATTTATAATAATAACAGTGCATGTTTTTATTGTTGCAGCAATAAAAGTGTGTATAGGTATTCTGTCTGTTTATTGATTAATATGCAGACTATGCAGAAATATTGCTACTATAAAAAT